AGCAGCTTTAGCATCGTCATGCTCCTCTTCATCGTTGTCGTCCTCGTCGCTGCATTCAAGGAGGTTGCTAGGAACCCTAAACCCTAAACCCAAATCGACGGCCCTAAATCCTAAGCCCTACATCAAAAACCCCAAATCCTTAGCCCGAAAGCCTGGTGTAGGTTGGAGCATCTCAGGGCCTTGGTAAAAGGCGCACATACCCTACGTCCCAAACCCTACATAACCCCATTATAGTGGTTTCCATTTTCTTTTCAACTATCCCTGTATGGTGATTTCCCAAAAGAAGGGGGCCCCCGATATAGACCCCCATTTATATAATTATTAATATTATTGTTATTATTGTTATTATTATTAGTAGTATTCTTATTATGGGGACTCCCAGTGAGGTACCCCTAATCTTGGGAAATGCCTATATTACCCCTATATTACCCCTATATAAGCCTATGATTCTGTAAGGACTTTGGTCCCTGAGGTTGGAACTGCTTTACGGCGAGCTCTGCTTGTCGGGGCTGACACTTGTGTTGAGGGATTGCCACATGAGCTATGGTCTAAACTCCTTAGAGTGGGTCATATGTTATATAGGGGGTTATATGGGGGACTACTATAGGGATCTTAAAGGGGGATGCTAGGAGTTTATGTAGACTACAGCTCACACAGTTGTCGTTCAAGATGTCTGTTCCCCCAACTGGCCAGAAAGCAATGTTACTTGTTGGTCCGGACCCTGTGGAGGGGGTTCCTGTTCTCGTCTGCTGTGAGAACAATCCAAAGCTCTAAACCCTAAACCGAATATTTCCCAGATGTTAGACCTTCGACCCAACGTCCCTACCAGCCCCGAATTCCAAAGGCAGAGCAGTCCCGTCATGAAACCCGCTAACATCACCCAAAGGCATGAAACGATATTAATATCAATAGCAATAGAAATATCCATCATAATAGAAAAGGTAACAGTGATATTATCCGTATTTGTAATAGTAGTGATAATCATGAATACTGATAGCAGCAGCAATCATAATAACTAATTATGATATTAAGAACAATAAGAATACTGAAAACCTGACCCCTGGACCAATCCATAGCTAGCTTAGGGCTTGGAGCTGGAGATGTGCGACTTGAAGTCGAAGAACGAGGAGCTGAAGGTAGCCCTACTTCATTCAGGATTTAGGGCTTAGGGTTGAGGGAGGGTTTAGGGTTTAGGGGTTAGGGGTTTAGGGCTTAGGGCGAAGGAGCTTATTCAGGTAGATCACCACGGGTCCCCAAACAGGGGATATCTTCCACGAACCTATGAGTTCCCTCTTCATCCCCTATGAATCTAAGGTTATGTCTTGCGATCTGCCTTGCCCTTATCATACGGCTGGACTGTTGCAGGATCTACATTTTAGGGGAGGAGTTGCGACAAGCCTTTTCAATTTCGCGTCACCTTCTGAATTCGGTCTGGATGGTGTGTCGCAGGAGGGGAACTCCCGCGTTCTACACTCAAAACGTAGTTTATTCGCATCTGGGTGCGTTAGCAAGCAGGCTCGTAATCGTCAACCCCTAATTTGGCAGATTTGGGTGAATTCATCTCAGGTGTTCTTGATGTTGAAAATGAAAAAGAAGGTTGGGAGTGGCCGGGACATGCTTGTTATGATTATTACTATTCATTATTCATCGCTATATTGCTATTGCTATTGCTATTACTATTCCTCGCCCGCTTTACCCCTTGTCATCCCTTGTCCAAACCTGAAGAACGAGATGTGGGGGTTTCCCCCATATTAGAGGTACCTTTGTGGGGGGTCCTTATAATAAGGATGCCAGTATTTTAGTGTCTACTGTGGGGTCCAATTGTTTAGGGAAACTACCATGTGGCCCTTTCAAAAGGGCGGTCTGAAGGGCTCTCTTACTGGTCTCATAATTGACCCATCGCATTAAGCAGCACCTCAACCCCCAAAGGCATGTAAAATAGTGTAACAGCCCTAAACCCAAAATAAGAGCCAGAAAGGCAATTATTTTACATACTTTTGCGGTCCAGGTAAGGCGGTCCAGGTAAGCCCTTGCAGTGTGTACACAGCTGCAGACCAGGCAGAGCCATCGACCGAGCGCAGGCGATCGAGACATTCAGGTGATGGAGGGTCGACGGGACGCTCGGATCAGAAGATAAGTTTAAAAAAAAACGCGTCCCGCGTGGATGCATTAAATACGATCTTTGGATATGCGCTCCCAGAAAATGAGCCCCATTTTGTGGGACTAGGAAGTTTTTCGCCACTTGGGGTTTGTTGGGTTATTTGGGGCTTGATACAGGATGGGGCTCGTCTGCTAAGTTCTGGATTGAAGCCGAATAATTCTCTCCCTGAAAATCTACGGCTAGTTTGGGATTATGGGGAGATTCTGGGCTCCCCCTGGCTGCTATGACGGGGGTTAAAAGGCGCCATGCAGCCAGGCTGACCGTGGGGTTGGCATGGTCCTATGTCCTATGCAGGTCTGGAGACATTATGGGCGAGGTTCTGTAGAGCCCAATTTTGAGGAATCAGAGGACGAAGTTCAAAAGTTCAGAAGGTTCAAGCTCTTGCCTGGGGCTCATCAGGGTCGTTTGAATGCACACCGTGGCATCCCCTTGTGCTGGCCATGTTTGTTGTGTTGGTTTGAGCCGGATATGCTAGGTGGATGCAAGTTTAGGGGCTTCTCAGAATTGTCAGTCTCGTTTCCTAGGGGCTTTAATACCATGAGCTTCATGACTGTATAGTTCTGTACTTGGTCCCAAATTTTGAGTGAAGCATGTAAGGCTATGCAAGGCTTTTGCAAACCCTGTGGGTACCAAGCATTTATCCGAGGTTCAGAACACTCGCTGCTGGATGTGCCTCGGTCATTTTTAGACATCGCTTGCTCGGTTTTCAAATCACTCTCATGGCAACTTGTGATAACTTGTGAACAAATTCTGCACAGGACTTCGGGACTTGAGTTTCCATGGACTGTAGAAGCAGATGACTATTCAGCGCGCTTGGGATGGCAGATGCTGTGGCAGTCATCCAGTATCCCTGAGTCTGTTCTGCTGCTATGCTACAGCTGCTGCTACCGTAATTAGCCGCAACCGCTGCCGCGACCGCTGCCACAACCGTCGTAATCCCTTCCCCCCTGATATGCAATGCCCCCCACTACGCAGATGGTGAGCAGCCCTGATTTGCTGGAATTGAACTTCATCTTCGGGTAATTTTGCAACAGAGTCGGGTGGTGAAGTAATATTCGATTCGATATCAGGTGGGGTTACCCTCTACCTAAGTAGCATGATTAGCTTTATCAGTGCCGGTGAAGAGGTCTTGTCAAGTTTGGGATGTCTAGCGAAGCCTACCAAGCCATGGGAATACAAAGGTCACCATACTTGTTTAGTTGTTAAGCTGCAGCATCAGCGGTGCATACATCATTCTGTGGTTTTAAAGTTCTGTGTTTGGAGCAGAACGCCACAATGTCCCCAAACAGAACTGTAAGCACGCCGAGCAACAAGATGCTCGCACTGTTGCTGTTTTCGTCGTGGTCATCATCCTCGTCATTGTTGTCGTTTTTGTCGTCGTCATTCTTCTCCTTCTCGTTCTCAGTTGTCATGTCATCATCGCCATCATCGCGGCCGCGGTCATTGCTGTTGTCTTCCTCATGCGCATTTGTCGTTTATCTCGATGTTGTAGCAGCAGGTCAGCAGCAGCTGCAGGAGCAGCAGGAGGAGGAGGCAGAGAACGAATATGAGCAGGATGGGAGGAGCGATGACGGGTATGCTTCTTTCACTACGGCTCCCATCCCTGCAAGTTTTGCTACAGCTCTTGTGCCATTTCGAGTGCTACATTTGCCGCTAGCAACCTTGCTCCCATTGCTGGGGGAAACATGTCAGAAATGGCAGGAATGGGCCACGGCCAAGCCAGTGTTGGAGTGCTTGGAGGATTTGCAAGGTACTGCCTTCCCAGCTTTGATCTTGATTCTTGATCTTCTGCAGCAAGTTCCTTTCATCTTCCGGGTCCCTATGACTGCCTATGCAGAAACTTCTTGCCCTCGATGTCTATTGCAATATACGTTTACTAGCGAGCACGTTCCGTCCAGACCTCCCCCTTACATGTCACATCCGGCAAGCATTGGGTGCAGCGGCGACACCATGACTCGGAGGAAAAAACTATGCCGTCCTCCTCAAATGTCGATGCATCCACCCTGCACAGACCTACTGGCTGTTCCTACCAGTGACCTGTAGCGGTGCAAGCATGTAGTTTTGCCATGACCCCGAAACATAGGTACGCATGGTGGATTCTCCACGTTTTCATTTTGCGAGAAGCAGCATCACTGCACTTTGCAAAAACAATTCTGCAGTTTCAACACCGTCCGATCAAGAGAGCATCCGTGCCGATGCCCAAACCACAATAACGTTCATCCACGAGAGCATGCGTGTACCAGAGCATCCATGCCCGAATGATCATGACGTTTGTGGTACAGAGCACCCAATGACCAGAGCTATACAATATAGTAGTTTCCATTTCATTTTCCATTATCCCTATATCATCCCTATATAATCCCTAATATAACCCCAATTCGGGCATCCATTTGGCTTCAAGGACAAAGACGCACTACCACAGACTTACATGGGGGTTTCCCAAAATTAGGGGTACCTTTTTGGGGGTCCCTATAATAAGGACTATAGTATATTGGGGTCTATATCGGGGTACCTAATTTTGGGGAACTACCACGTTGCCAACTATCTGCACCATTCCTTTTCTCTGTACTCTTTCTTCTGCTACTTCTGCTGCGTCCAACAGCATCACCAACTTTGAATCATTGTTCTGATTTAGAGTTCGGGGTCTAGGGCTTGGGGTTGTAGGGTTTCGGGCTTATGGCTCAAAATCACTGCCCCCATGCAGCATTTGGGCACTGTGATACAACTCCAATTTTCGCTAGGCAGTTCGCGACGCATGCTAAGTGCTGGTTTTCGCAGTATGCCGGCACCTTGCCTTCTGCCCTCGCATGAACGAAGCACATTGCCAAGACACACAAACATGTGCCGCATGCCACACGGAGGCCAGTGCTTCGGCAATTCCATTGTCACCGATGCCACAGATGACGCGAGCAAAGTCACATAAAAAACTCAGCGCTTTTGCGTTCAAACGTGCGTTTGCAGTTTTCCATGGTAGAACATGCAAACCTCCCAAACTCCTGCGTCTGCCACGTAAACCAAAAACCCTCTGAGTGCTAACAGCGCTAGGTTCCATGGTGGTGGTATGTGGTTGTTAGTGGGAGGTGGAAGAATCCGTAGCCTCTAGATAATACAAAATCAGTACATTAGTTTCCAGCTTCTTTGCATCTCTTCATTCCCTACTCACAACCCTAAACATGATATGTATATCATTGTAGACCCCCACTTTTCATTTTCCACTTGTTTTTCCATGCAATTGTCCATTCCAAAAACCCTATGAGAACCCCAAAGCCCTACTCTCCACTCTAAACTTTACACCCTAAATGGTGATATAGTCGTCTCCGCGAATCTGCTTTTCCATTTCCGAAAAGCACCAGCAAGCTCAGGGCAGCAAGCCCATCTTACAGCGATCACTTTCAGCCGCTATGTGCAAGCATCACCAGGCTCGCATGGTTTAAAGTTTAGGGTTGCATAGGGGTTATGTAGGGGTTATATAGGGAATATCTAGGGGGTTATATAGGGAATATATTGGGGTTATATAGGCAATATGTAGGGATAATGGAAAAGAAAATGGAAGCTGCTATTTAGGGTTCCGGGTTCAGGGCTTTGGGCTTCAGGGCTTTGGGGGTGGGTTTGGGGGTGTAGGGTCTTGGGTCTAGGGTTTGGGTTTTAGGGTTTTGGGTTGGGTTCTGTGTCTTGCACGGGAGTTTCCTCTAGAGTGGGCCCAATATGGATCCCAATATACTACGATTATCATTGTCATAGTCATAGGTACTCCCACAAGAGGTACCCCCAAACCCTTTTATATCCCCATATAACCCTTATACCCCAGTCCCCTACGTCGAGTTTCGGAAGCCGCCGCATTTATTGACACATGATTCGAGAACATCTACTTGCCTTGTCCTTAAGGGTGGGAAGGGGAGTGAAAAAGGTCCTTTTGTTGGGAATATACAGGGCCTAGGGTCAGTTCTAGGAAGTCATTCCCCAGACTCCTTGACGCGGCCACAATAAGAGCTCTAGACAATGACAAGGGACTGCATCCTGCCAACGCATTTGCTTTCTGCCCCAGCAGTCGCACAGGCCTTGCGAGAAGTCAACGCCGATGAAATCTTAGACGCCTTAGAGACGGTATCTCACGAAGTGGACGCCAACTGGGCAGGATTCGAGTTTAGGGTTTAGGGGTTTTGGTTGAGGGATGATTAGGGCTTAGGGGAACAGGATGCTGTGATCAGGGATGTCAAGACTTGTGAGTGGCGGCTCGGGCGTCAGTGTCTCCGAGCGATGGCCGGTGGTTTTGTTGTGCAGGGGTCGTGGTATGCTAGCTCTTTGACGCGGTTCATGCTTGATAGTTGATCAAACTTTGATTCTCAAGCGAGCAACTTTGGACAAGAGTCGGGCATCATCTTCTTGTCATACACATGCTTCACGGTGTAAACGGAAGACTCGCTGTGACAGAGTGTCGGTTTTGGGCTGTTCGTCTAGGCTCAATGCAAAGCCCCATGTTAGTACACAATTCTATCCGGCCACTCGGAGATAATTGTTCAAGCTGCCACCACCTAAAATTGTCAATCCCAAGCTGCCCAATCAAACCTTTCAAGGATACCAATGATGAGATGGGCGTCAACTATAGTTTGAGTGAAATGAAGCTTTTCCGACCGTCTTGACCGTAAGTATATCTTTCTGACTCTGTGATGCTTGCTGTTTTTGGAACAGGTGAGCAAGTGGGACGTTTCAGGAGCCTGAGGTATACCCCAGAACTTTCGAAGTATTTCAGCCCACGCAGCACACGCTGTCCAGCCCTTCATCTTCAACTCGGTCGCACGTCATTGACCTTAAAACCCAGGGGTCGGAGTCCATCGCCAGCTTATTCCGCGATCCTGAAGTGGAAAAGTTGATGCAGATGCTTTTCTGAAGAGCTATTCCGGCCCACGTTGCTGTGACACCGCCACCTCCTTGTCATTGGATATTCGACAGGTCCAACCATGATCCCAAAGGAGTCGGTTGAGTTTAGACTAAAGTGGCAAGAGGAACAGAGGCGTTTTTAGTGGGCTGCAGACTCTGAGGTAGGAAGTAGGTTCCAGGCTTACGGGGTAGGAACTAGTATCAGTGTTGTTCGGGATAGTTCGCGTGGAATCTTGTGTGCCTACCGTTCATATGCAAGACCGTGCCTGACTGTTTTCATTTACGGGAAATCCTAACGACAGTGGTAGTACATGAGGTCATGTACTCTCGCTGCACGCCACAACAGAGTTTTAAGCGCTGAGGCCAAGATATGAGGCATTTCTACGTTTCTCAGCTCTTTGACCGCCAAAGTTTTTCTCGGAGAATCATGAGCGTATTTCTCGGGTAAAAAGCAAATTCAAGACCGTCTGCTTATTCCACATCTGTGCAGGCCTACCACACAAGAAGCCCCCGCAAGAATTGGCGAGCTTGCTGCTCTTGGAAGCAAAGTTTGAGAGGAGAAGCGAGACCCCCTAGCTTCATGTTTAGACAAATCCAAACACCAAGCCCGAAGCCCTTGACCCTAAACCCTGAAGCCTTAGCCCCAGACCCTTTGCCCCAATTCCCCAACCATCAACAAGGAGTCTCCCAAAGACCACTGCTCTTCTGTGAAGGGAATGCATGGAGTTTTGGGGGAGGGCCGGGCCCCACACCCGTCTTTCAGGAAAGGCAACACGGGGCTTGACAAACTCGAGACGGACTCTGCGATGGCGCGTCGTTACGCACAGAAGCTGGGCTGAGAGCGGATGGTGTTGCCGATTCCAAGGCGTTAGGCTTAGCATCCATGTGAGCCCTGGATCCCTAAATGCGACATCCCACACCCTAGCTAAACCTAGCACGTCCTAGACCACTAAGAAACAAAGTTAAGGGAAAACATTTTCGAGATGCGCGCCCCTCCAACTTAAACGTTGCTTTCAAGGCCCATGCAATGTGGGGATCTGAAAAGGAACACCTAAATGCAGCGTCTCAAAAGTAACCTTGTAGAATCTTCATTATAGACTCCCATACTCGCCTCATAGTTCTCTGTCATTATGCATCCCAAGAGGCATCTAAAACGCCGGTGGTGACAACCACCCCAAAACTTGCCTGCGGTTAGCAAGAAATGAAAGAATGGATCCATGCATTGTAATGGTCCCATACCTTATCCCCAAGAAGGTAGTAGTTTGCTTGCTTTTTTTTGACAATTCTTCCTTCCCTGCAAATAGGAAGTAAGAAAATACATCCTGAGGATGAGCTTCTTCGGGAAGATGCAGGTTTGGCTGCAGTCCCACAAGCTGCCAGGTTTAACTTGAAGTTGATATAAGGAGTACGTAGGGATCTATAGGGATTATACAGGGCTGCTGAGGGGGTATATGAAGGTTCTAAGAAGTATTAAATTACGCCCAAATTAACAAGGAACTCCTGTAGCCTTTTCACAGGGAAAGTAGTCTTTATAGGGCCCTTTTGAAGTATTCTATTCAGGCTTGAGGCAGGCACATGGGGCTGAATAAGGCGTACGTGGGAGAGCAGCCGTTCAGAACGTAATCCGTCCCCCGTAATCATACATCCCCGCAACAAAATCATCCTCTAAAAGAATTTTCCAGTTCCAGAAATTCACAAAGATGACTTCAAGGGCCGAGAGTTCTTTTGAAAAAGGATCCCCGGCATAATGAACAAGTGGGTTTCTGCGGTAACTAGGGGATAGAGTAAGAAGTCCAAAGGAATCTGGGATCCCCTTGATCCTGTGTTTAACGTTCTTTTGACACATAGCTTCATCGATGTTACGTGAACTTATTTTGATTTTAAACCGCGTTTGATTGGATTTTAATTAGATTTCTGTTAGTATTAATTAGATCAAATTGGGTATTGCTGGGTAATAACAGATGAAAATTCGATGTAGATTGACTTAAGTTCGATTTTTCGTAGGTTTAATGATTTCACTTAGCCTTCACTTGGTTCGAATACGACTATAATTGGATTTCAAGCGGTGTTAATTAATCAGATTTGCATTGGGCTTTCCTGGGTGCGAATTAGATTTCAATAGATTGATTGTGTTGCGATGTTTGAAATAGTTTTTTGTTGGCCTTCAATTGATTTCTAGTTAGTTTTTGGTAAGTAGTTGGTTTGAAGTTGTTTTTATTACGGTACGAAATCGGTTTAAATTAGAGAATAACTCGATTTCAATCCATTTAGTCAGGTTTTGACCAGACGTTACTTGATATTCACTCGTGTTGTCACGGATTGAAATCAGTTCTACTTAGACTTCACATCGATTCCAAAGAGCTGTCACTGGGATTTCAACTGATTTAAAAGGGGTCTTAGTTGATTGCATTAGGCTTTTAAGTCGATGTTAATTAGACGTCGATTGATTTTAACCAGATGTAAGTAGGTGTTACATGGATTTTATTACAAGTTTGAACCGGTTTTGATTAGATGCTACTTCTCCTAATACATTGTCCATTGATGTTCAGTAGATTTTCTTTGATCCCAAAGATAGATGCTAATTGATTCCATTAGATTTTAGTTAGATCCCCATAAATCCTTGCAATAACCGCCCTCAATGAGAATGATACTTCAGGGGCATTTTTAAGCGGGGGGAGAGACGTGTTTTGTTCAAGTAGCACATAGAATACCACGAAAGCTTGTAGCTCTAAGGTAATTGGCGGGGGAATGCGTAGTCGTCCTGAGAGGGCATGTTTGGGGTTGAGGTTGAGGGTAAATCTAGGATTATATAGGGATATGTAGCGAATGTCTAAGGATTATATGAGAGGGTGTATGACGGCATATGGGGATCTACAGGGTTGTTTATTGATCTAGTCTGCCATCATAATCCTTACGCTCTTAGCTTACGTGGTGGGATAGAAAATCCAGAGAGCATTCCACATATAATTAATATAATTAGTATAGGTTGAGGGTGTCTTGCAGTTCAAGGTCAGGAACTTTGAGAGATTGCACCTCTGAACGCGAAGATGTAGAACGTAGAGAATGCTCAATTAGTTTCGTTAGGTGAAAATTCTTGGTTGCGATTGAGTCGTCGGAGTTTCGCTGCTAAAGCAAGTTCACTGTAGCCGCGCGGTCTGGGTCCATGGAAAGGTGATGTCATAATTTTGAGTGTGCACTGGGACCCTATTGCTTTCAAGAAAGACTCTGGTGTCTTTCACTTTTGAAGCCCTCTAAGGCAGAAATCGCGCGTGGGGTAAAAAGCACGTGCAATCCGAACTGCCACGCTTAAACCCCCTAAAGTCCCGTATAAGCCCTATCCAGTAAGTCAAGCTCCTCAAGACAGCAAGACCTCAAGCGTGACACTTCAAGCTCGAACTGAGGTACGAGATCGTGATTGCCGCGGTTTTATGCATCAATGTCTTGTGGATGGCTTTTGAGCTCCAGCTGAGCGGGTCCGACACAGGCTACCAAATTGGAGCAGCATGGCGGATGAATGTGGGTTTCAAGTTCGGAGTTTAGGGCTCAAGTAGGTTTCTCAGAGCCGGGGAGAAGCTTTCATGATACTAGTTGATGGAATTTACCTGGCCTTGACAACGACAAAGCTCACTGCTTTGGGTTCCTTCCGGTGGGGAGACCCTATAGACGCTAAACCCACCTGATTTTGGCGACTTAGACTCTAAAAGCTTGTGCAGAGAGTTCTTCTTGGGCCCTAGGAACCCTAAACCCTAAACCCTAGGCTTCCACTTCTATTTATATACCGGTGCTTGGGGGTGGCGAGGGGTGTATAGGTACAACTATCTCGGGGGTTGCTTAAGAAGGGTTGTTCTAGGTATCCACCCACCCATTCCCCCTGAAGCACCAGTAACCCTAGAAAGTGTAGTAGTTTCGATTTTGCATTCTATTCCAATGAAACCCTAAGCCCTATATAACCCTGATATAACCCAATTATAACCCCAATATTACACCAAAATTGTTCCAATATTCCCCCGCCCCCCCGCTCATTCCCCCTCAAGCTTGCCCCCTTGGACCCAAAGGTGATCAGCGCGCCCCCAGTGCCTGCAGAGAGTTGGTCGACTTGGGGCAGGATCGGTGGGGTTTGTATACTACCAACATGGTTAAGCCTAAGCCCTAGACCCTGAGATGTAGTGTGTAGTTGAGGGTTTAGCAACATGTGTTAGGATGTATCACCCGCCTTTGTATGCCCTGCACACCCGAAAGCTGATAACAACCCTTAGATGACACAGACTCTTGTGGGCCTGCGGTAAAAGACCGTGTTTAAAGCTCTAAAGCTTATTCCTTCTCTCCCCCTCTCCGTGGATACCTTACCGACTCCAGGGTCCTAAAACTCAAGCCTTAACGATCCTAAACCCTAAAACCCCCTAAACCGTAAGCCCTAAACCCGCTGCCCCCTGTGGAGGATCATCGAGGTGGGAGACCTCATCTTCACGACCTTCTTTGTGACGGATGTTGTCGTGCGCATTGTCGTTTTGCAGCGCAGCTTTTGGAAGGCTATTCTGCTCTACGGGGATTAGGAGGGCTTCAAGTGCAATGGCATGAAAAGGTGTAGTAAGATTTTCAACGGACTAGACTTTTCTCAAGATTGTGCAGGCTTTTGGATTAGAAGCATGATACCAATAATCCGACAAATACGTTGATGATAATTGCCATTACTCTGGTGATCATTGCTGGCACGCTTTGCGTGCGGTGCATGGCATGGGTACCAGCCCAAGGATTCCCTAGGCACCTGTGTTTCGCTGGAACTGCGAACAACGAAAAGGTTGCTATGCGACCATAAGGTCGATTCTCTCAAAAGAAACCAGCTTGAAACTTGCTTCTGCGGCCTATCTTTGTCTTGCGCCCCTGAAAGGTCCCGCTGAACTACATCGATGTTGCTGTCAGTGCTGCGTCTCTGTTTGAGGCAAGTGAGCAGAACCAGCTAGCAATGGGTGAAATTCCTGGCACCCTTCCTCAACTCAGGCAGGGTAGACCCCAGTTCGACTGACCTTGCAGGTCACGGTTTATCATGGCACCACCTTGGCGGTGAATCCAATCCTCTTCCGCCTGGTGCGCATCGGCAAGCTCGCGAGAGCTATTCGCTTTGTCACCATGACAGAATGGGATCCGGAAATGAAGTGAGATATTTTTAGAATGTCAGAGGCAGCAGTTGACTTCATTTGCATTTGTAAGAGCACTTCAAACAAGAACACGCTCCCCTAATCGCTTTGCTCGCCATGAGCCTGTAAAGGCTGCCGCGATTTGAGCATGGTGGGTGGTCTAGTTATCATGGTTGTGGCGGTGCTAATGCTGATCCTGATGCTGCCGGTGCCGCTGCCGGTGCTGGTGCTGGTGCTGCTCCTGATGCAGCAACTGCTGCTGCTGCTGCTGCTGCTGCTGCTGCTGTGCAGGCGCTGTGGTGCTGCGGTTGCGGTGCTGGTGCTGGTGCTGGTCGTGGCGGCGGCGGCGGCAGTGGTGGTGCTGACGCGAGCTGTTGCTAAAGGGGGTCTGATGGTGGTGAAACTGTTAAAGTTGGTAAGTACTGAAGGTTGCAGTGATGGTTTCAGGCAGATGCAAGCATGTCCCATGTCTCACATCCATTTCGCTCAGTTAGACCGAATAATGTCTATGGCACCAGAGCCTTGCAAGCAGCGCAGGACCAGCATGCTGGCATCCCTTCAGCTGCTGGTAAAGTGCTTCAGCTTTGCTTATTGTGGCAAAGGGCAGGCCTAGATGCGTCAGCTCGCGCTTTGTTTTGTATCTAAGATGAAATTAAGCCCAAAACTCAGGGTCCGTTAAATCCACCCAATCCCAGCCCTTACCAAGCATAGTACCCCAAATCCAGACCGTCAGAGCTTCCAAACTGAGGGCCTTCTCTCAGCAAGAGTTAGGCATCTAGGATAATGCAGTTTAGGGTGCCCTCTATGTAGAAGGTCATGTACAACCCGGCAAGTCGTGGACCCAACGATTCCTTAACCTCACGTCCTAGGCATTGAGTATTTCTGCAGCCTCTTAAGGCACCCTGTATTCCCAGAAGCCCTCTTGAATTAACTCTTTGAAGCCCTGGGCAAGCTCAGCCCCCAAAATGCTGCCAGGGCTCCAGATGGCACCCTGCCAACCCCACCAGTCCTTAAGGGTCGAACGCCGTAAACCTTAGCTCCAAACCCCAAAACAACCCACGAACCGCAGCCTCCCAAAAAATCTAAGCCCGAAACTCTCAGCTGCTAAACCTAAGCCCTGTGCCGCGGAGAAAAGGTCCCATAAAAAAGACCCTAAACCCGTGGCACTGAAAAGGTGTCTGGCCTCCAGTAGCAACATGCTCTTTTGGAGCTTCTGCCTCCTAACATTCGTGCAGTGTGTGGCCGGACTCATCCTCAGCACTCTGTGACTTGGACTGTTTTGGGGGATGGGGCTCACAGGGCTTAGGGTTTAGGGGGTTATAGGTATGTCTAGGAGTCTTGGACTTCAGAATTTTCATCTTGTTTTCTGTGTTCGCAATGGGGCACCCCTAAGAAGTCTCAGACATGGGGGAGTTTGGGTCCCCATTGGATGCTTGGACGATGGTCAGAAACTCCTGTTTTATTTGCCTCTTTGAGTTGTTCAGGGATTTGGGGGCTTCAGGATGTATTGTTTGAGGCTTTCAGTCGTAGGGTTTTAGCATAATGGCATGTGGCTACTGCCTGGCTCTCCTAGCTTCTCAGGAAGATGTACTACGGGCTTTGAGTTTGAGAAGAAGCACTTTTGGACTTGAGGCTGTAGGATTTACATGCTTTTTGAAGCCGCGGGCTTTGGGGGCCGAAGGTGCAGCGCTCAAATCTTGCTTTCTTGGGAACACCTGAGAGAGCCCTGCACAACCCAAACTGACCATAGGGGAACCTGTAGATCCCTTGTGAGACCTGCCATTTTCACTTCCAGATCTCCCCAGTGTGACTCAAGATCTGAATCCACAACTTAAATGCATCAAAGTCAAAGTTTCCAATACTAAGAGACGCGTTTTTTTTTTCCCTTTACGCAGGAGTATCGTATTTTGGGGTCTAGATTGAGGTTCCCGCTATGTAATTATGCAGACCGCCACATGTCAACAAGACACAGGTGTCGAGACTTCCTGAAGGATGAGTCTGAAGACTTGGCTCTAAGAGAAGAGGCAAGTAGTCTCCTTCCCCTAACAATAGTATATGGGTGGTTGTCAAAATTATGGTCCCTTTTTGGGCACCCTAAATATGAGGTGCCGCATGATATTAATAGGGATCCAAAAAGGTGCCATAAGTTTGACAACCACCCATATGAGCTATAATGCAAACCCCTTAGTTGGTATACAAGGGGATTCTAGAGGGGAATGGGGAGTATTATTGGGTTTACTAGGGGGGATGCTGGGCGTTTAGAATATAGCTTTTTTAAACCCCCAACCGCCTTGCAAAGATTCCCGCGAATATCTGGTTTTTTATTGGGGGTACGATTTCTGGAGAGTGCGTCCGAATACAGGCCCATGTTCTTCAAGGAAAACACGCATGCTCGCATATTTGAGGTTCAGAGCACAAAGACACAGGCTCATACTCTGCATCTACCTCTGGATGTTTTTGTGGCACGCTCAATAAATATGCACCATGGAATGCTCTCATGACTTGTATCTGTTAACCTCAATCGCGACCCGTGCGCTCGTTTCACCTAAGCTTTCTTGATGCCGCCATCATTTGCGTTCAGGTCCCCCCAGCGGGGCCCAGATATTTTGAAAGCGAGTAGACACCTTAATCGCAGTGTCTCCTACGGCTTCACGACACGAAGCAATGGCCCATTGAACCGTCCCTTGAACCGCCATTGAGTGGGATGGCCCTTTCAATCTACTCATTTCAAAATATGGATATGCCGATATAAGTTTTGCCATTGCTATGTAATGCACAGCTCTGCACGCATGCTCCTTGCCACATGTATGGCTATCCCCGGAACCCATTATTTCAGCTGGGGGGCTCTCTCATGAATCCCATTCTTCAAAGTGCAGGTCCCCTGCAAAACCTATCGCTTACATAATGGAGAACACTATGGTGTCTGGAATACAATCCCAAGCATCTGTCTTTTTATTTTGGAGCTCCATTACAATGCGACACTTTGAGTTTCTCTTTTGAAGTTCTTACATCTCATAGACGAGCTCTCATCAATCAAACAAACATCAGTGCATCCTCTCCTTGAGTGTAAGATTCAGCAGGGCCTCCCAGGGCTCCTTGGCCCCAGGCCTCCAACTGTAGTCTCCGAAGCAACCAACTGGCTAATGTGTCCTTGGTAAAGCTCTCGAAGAAGCACCGCAACATAACTTTGAACACGTTCATATCATCAATGTGTTTGTGATTTGATCTTGTAGGCACCGCATGCAGAAGCCCCGAACGTGCTAACGTGGAAAAGAAAAACCTTGGCCCGCATTCCGACACGGGGGGTCAGTCTTCAGCTTCATTGATAGGAGCACTTTGTTGTGTTGTCATGTGTTTGTGTGTGCTGGGTGATGTCATGCTCTCCGGATCAAAGTTGTAAGGGTGGTGGGCTCCTCGTAAAGGGATTGGCACCTGAGTCTAAGGTTTTGGATGTTTCGGGATAAGCTCCTCCCGACAAACCTTTCCCACGAGGGCAACAGGTATCTGCCCAAGCGAGCGTTCCAACAAACCTTCAAGCAGAAAAAGCATCTATGTAGAGTCTGCCAACCAACTTTGGATCCCAACCTGTGCCTGGAAGCCCTGCAGAATCCCCACACAAGCTCCATCTTCAAGGTTTAGGATTTTGGGGGTGGTCACGTCATAAGAGCTCGCTGGTGTGGACTATCCTCAGGCCGCTCGTATGTGTGCATGACAGGCTACTTGCCGAAGACCTCCTGGAGTTCAAGCAGGCTTCTAAAGGCCTTTAAGCATCCTGGCGAGACCAATGCAACACCGACGACGTTTGCCCTTCGATTCACGCAGGGCATGGGTGCTCCGTTCAGATAAGGAGGCGTCAGAATTCTGAGTTTTCTGCGTCCTCGGGTAATGCCAAAGGCTGCATGGGGATGGTTGGCGGGCCGGACACTCGATGGAGATCTGAAGCGTGCGGCAGCACTCTGACTGGAACGCAGCTTTGCCATTTCGGCGGAATGCCGCTGACAAGGCTGATTGTCGTGATGCCATGCAGACGTTTGGCAACATGTTCTGACAATGTCCGGCACTTTGGCTGAATCGGCTACAGCACGACCGACATCTCAAACGGCTGTTTTATTTCCATCTGGATCACAAGTGTCGGTGCCCACGCAAGAGGCACCCGGGCCCGCCAGGTTTGGCTGATGTTTCTAAATGAGTTCAACAAAGCCCTAGCTTTTGTTTGCAACTACCGGTGTGGTGCCCGACTTCTTGATTCTGCCGCTCGTGAAGCTCGTACGGCCTCGGGCCCTGGCGTGGCAGTTGGAAGCCGTCACCCATGGACAGATTGTTTTCCTTGAAATGGTTCTTAGGACTCAAACCTGACATAGTCCTGGATGGTTCTCTACATGTGATTGCATCTAGATTTTGGCATAGTCCATATCCTTCAAGCAAACACGTTTTTCATTGAAACCCGTTTCACTCTTCCTCAGAGTTGTTGCAATCATCGCTCTTATTGGTCTAACTTTTTCTGGCATTGTTATGTTGCGCTTGATTCGTGACAACTCTCTAGCAACGTTCTAGCAGCCGTTGGATGCACTGACTTGATTTCCACTGCGTCTTGGCAGGTGTTTCGATATTATGGCACCTTCAGCCGGACTTTTCTGACAATGTTTGAAGCTGGACCTACACTATTCAGGGTTCAGGGTAGTAATGTGGCGCAACTTGCAACCCACATTTTTTTCAGTTGACTGTTTCCAAGCCAACATCGCCGCTGAGGAAATTTTATTCGCTAATTGGGGGCCACCTTGCAGGGTACTTGTGGATCAATACAGCGAGTGGTTCACCATCTTCTTCCTCACTTATCGCTGCGTCCTCGGATTTGCAGCAGCTCGCCTGGAAGACAATTTCTTTTACATAGTGCAGATTGTATCCAGGGGCATTCATTCAGCGGCGTTGAAGGGACGACGGGAAGTTGCATGTTTAGTAGCTGCTATGAGGCATTATATGGCGAAAAGTTTTTGGGGCAGGTTCGTGGCACGTGTGTTGCAGATTCAGTGTCTGCTCAGGATCTGTCAGGTTTTGTCAAGTTGCTTTGGGTCAAAAGACAAGTGAACTAGAATATGCTTGTTTCGTTTTCGCTTTGGTGCAAGTACATTGATTAGTATACTGACCTGTGTAGATCGAACCTGCGATGGGTATGGTTTTCTCCGATGGCTTATACAAATTGGGTCCGAGCTTGGTTTACAGTCATATCAATCACATGCCCAAGTTGACTTGTTGCTCCTCCCACCGACTTGTGCTGCTAACCATGCTTCTGTTGCTGTGGCAGGTGCTGAATGTTGTGAGCCCCAGCTTGTCATTGGCATCAGCGTTTTGCGTTTGGGCTATCAACTTAAGAGTTGGAAATCAAAGCAATGACAGCTGTATTTGGATAATGTTGCTGGATGGCCAAGGAACGCCGTCTTCGTCCAGCAGACTATGAAAACAGCAAGCTCAGATGAGGAGTTGGCTTTCAAGCAGAAAGAGAAGGACCAACATGCAGAAGCTTCAACAACAGATTCAAGCCTTATACCTTGCAGCCGTGAACTTTTGTAAGAGCT